CTTTATGTCAACTCACTTTCTAAAAATTTTAAGTTAATTTTAAAATGAAAGTTTATACCACCATAAAAATAAATACAATGAAAACAAAATAATTACTATACCCTAAAGTATAGTAATTATTGTGTTTTGTTAACTAGACTCTTGACACTTAGGGTCCCTGTGCTAAAAATTAGAAGTTGTTAAATTTATTAAACAAGTACTGTTGCAAAATGGGAACTTTTTTTCTTGTGATTAATAATTTTCTAAGTGAGTGGTATTTAAACGTCATGTTGGCAAAATCATGTAACACTTAAAGTCATCTTTTGTGCAGATCTCATACTTTGGAAATTACTGTTCCAGAGAGTATTCATGTGAAAGGAAAGCTGTTTGAACTATATATATACCCAAGCCAGTAAGCAGAAATGACTGGACAGAGATACAAGCCTGTGAGACAGAGAGATCTAGGAGATCTCTAGAGAGGTCCAGCTAGACCTCCAGGGTGAAATTACCTCATTTAGCTCGATTTCTCACCTCTCCTTTAGTGCTTTGGTCCTCGGGGGTCAATGGTTCTGCAGGATTTCACCAACTGGTTCCACAATGGGAATGTGAAAAGGTGCCTGACTGTGGGAGAAGCTGCTTATCAAAGAGAGGCCTGATAGAAATGCTAGGGGAAGTGGCTGTGAGTCTGCATTACGGATGGAAGCAGAGCGGCAGGGCATGTTGCTAGGACTAAGCAGTCGATTCACCTGAGTCTGGACACCATGTATGAGTATCTGAAAAAGTCCTGTTACAATTTAATTTACTCCATGGTGTTAGAGGGAATGCTTCCCTGCACATGGTGTTCTATATATGTATTGGTTGGTGTGCTTTAGGGTATAGTAATTATTTATTTATTTATTTATTTATTTATTTTTTTGAGACGGAGTCTTGCTCTGTTGCCCAGGCTGGAGTACAGTGGCCGGATCTCAGCTCACTACAAGCTCCGCCTCCCGGGTTCAGGCCATTCTCCTGCCTCAGCCTCCCGAGTAGCTGGGACTACAGGCGCCCGCCGCCTCACCCGGCTGGTTTTTTTTTTTTGTATTTTTTTTAGTAGAGACGGGGTTTCACTGTTTTAGCCAGGATGGTCTCGATCTTCTGACCTCGTGATCCACCCGTCTCGGCCTCCCAAAGTGCTGGGATTACAGGCTTGAGCCACCGCGCCCGGCCTATAGTAATTATTTATAGCAATAGATTCTTAACTTTGCATAGTATCCCCAGGTTGCTGAGTTGCTTTAGTTATATCTTTATTTCCTTTTCTTAGAGATTATAGACATAATTTGTTTCTGTTATCTTTTGACTGAAAATCTATTGGGAATGAATAATTACACTTGAATGTTTATTTTTAAGTAATAAGTTCTATGATAGGTGTCTGCATTTGAAAAAAATGTTTTAAAAAGTACAAAGGTCAAACAAGCATCTATATGATTGAACAAATGTTATTTTGCATATTTCTGTCAAATTTTAAAAAGTGGATAAAGCGGCCGGGCATTGTGGCTCACGCCTGTAATCCCAGCACTTTGGGAGGCCAAGGCGGGTGGATCACCTGAGGTCAGGAGTTCAAGACCGGCCTGGCCAAGGTGGTGAAACCCCGTCTCTACTAAAAATATAAAAATTAGCTGGATATGGTGGTGGGTGCCTGTAATCCCAGCCACCTGGAAGGCTGAGGCAGGAGAATTGTTTGAACCCAGGAGACGGAAGTTGCAGTGAGCCGACACGGTGCCAGTGTACTCCAGCCTGGGCGACAAAGTGAGACACCATCTCAAAGAAAAAAAAAAAGCAACAAAAACTAGGAAGAAGTGGATAAAGCATTACAAATAAAGTCTTTTGTGGTCCCCTTCACAGTCTCAGTCCTTTCCCCAGAGGCAACCCTTTTCGTAAATTTGTTGTATATTCACTGTGACGCGGTATTTCTGCTCTGTTTAGTTTTAAGGCGCACGTCTCCTTCATGGCAATCTGTTTTTCATTTTAACTTCTTCCTTTATCATTGGGTTGTCTATCACCTCTGTCCTTTGATATCCTCATCTTTTTTTTTCTTTTTTATTTCTTTTCTTTTAGATTTGGGGAGGCTCTGGTTGGCTTCTGTAACTATCACCAGCTCATGAGAACTTGTCTTTTTTATTTATTTATTTATTTATTTATTTATTTATTTATTTTTTTGAGACAGAGTCTCGCTCTGTCGCCCAGGCTGGAATGCAGTGGCCGGATCTCAGCTCACTGCAAGCTCCGCCTCCCGGGTTTACGCCATTCTCCTGCCTCAGCCTCCCGAGTAGCTGGGACTACAGGCGCCTGCCACCTCGCCCGGCTAGTTTTTTGTATTTTTAGTAGAGACAGGGTTTCACCATGTTAGCCAGGATGGTCTCGATCTCCTGACCTTGTGATCCGCCCGTCTTGGCCTCCCAAAGTGCTGGGATTACAGGCTTGAGCCACCGCGCCCGGCCACTTGTCTTTTTTAATAGATAAATCAGCCGGTCACTTTTTCTTTGAATCTTTTCAACTATTGCTTGGTAGCCAAAAGATAGCTTTCATTACTTCTAATTTTGTATATAGAAAGTTCTGGATGATAGGAAGGCACCAGCTATCCAGAGTGCAGTTGTTACTATATCAGAATTGCAGCTCTGCAAGTAAGTATCAACATAAAAAATTTAGCAGGCTGCAACTTTTTATGCCATGTATCTTAAATTCTTTATAACCCATTTTAGGACTTAAAGTAACTATTCAGGCTTTTCTGGTGTCTCTTGTAAATTTAGGAAGAGAAATAAGCTGATAGATTTCCTAAAGCAGGGTACCCCCCAAAACATGATGTCATTGATCCCTGCCAGCTGCCAAGACCTTTTGCTTATATTAATACAGTGAGAGAAGATAGGTGCAGGGCATGGAATAGAGCCCTTGGAATGGAGATTCTTTAGTATTCCTGTTCTCACATTTTCATCATCACTATTCTGGTTAGCTTCAAAAGATCCTACGAGCTTTTTCTTCTACTATCAAGGCTGTTTCCCAGTCTCATTCTTTATAATCTTGTGATACGGATTTTTCACAGACAAGTGGGCCAGATTTTTAACATTTTAAAAATGTTATTAATCTTTGATCTTATCCAGCAAGAATGAACTTGTTCTGGAAATTTCTTCTATAATGGGCATTGCATTTTTAAAATGTTCGGCTTGTCGTGGGGATTATGGTGGGGGGTGATACTAGTACTTATTTCTGATTATAAACTTGTGGGACCATATGAACCAGAAGATTAAGAAGGATAGCTTTTCTGAGCTGTATGGCACCCTTGTGTTTGCATTTTCTGGAAGAAAGGAAAGCTGCTTTGTTTTATTAGAGATTACTTGATGTCACATTTGGAAGGCAGACTGTCATAATTGTTTTTTCCCATTGCCATCTTTGGCATAGTAATCTTTCTTCCCTTATGTAATAAATATATGCCTGGAAAGTTTTACATAGATCAAGACATATTAAATGTTTTCAAAGCATCTGTATTATTATGTTAAGACATGGTGATGAGTCCTTTTGTAAAATGAACCCTATACTTTGGACTGTTTAAATATACAGTGAGTTAAACTGAGTGTATGTATGAACAAGGGAACATGTAGTAAGGGAGTAATGTTTTTTTAAAAGGTTAATTACAAAAGGATTTGTATAGGTGGATTTTAAGCTGAATTCTAAAGGAACAACAAAGGTAGGTGGGAGAATTTGGTAGAGTGGGTGAGAAAGTTTAAGGAAGGTGTAAAAATGATCAGATTGGCTCCTTAGTATAATAGTTACTGTGCAGCAGTAGTCATCGCTTTTACTTTGATTCCACATGAAGACACAAGGGTTTTTTGTTTGCTTGTTTTCAGAGAGAGAGCCTTGCTCTGTGGGCCAGGCTGGAGTGCACTGGCGCTCTCAGCTCACTGCAACCTCCAATTCCCAGGTTCAAGTGATTCTCCCATCTCAGCTTCTTGAGTAGCTGATATTACAGACATGTGCCACTACACCCAGCTAATTTATATATTTTTAGTAGCAACGGGGTTTCACCATGTTAGCCAGGCTAGCCTTGAACTCCTGACCTCAGGTGATCTGCCTGCCTTGGCCACCCAAAGTGCTGGGATTACAGACATGAGCCACCGTGCCCAGTGACACAAGGTTTTACTTGTGCACTGCTTTAGATCTCTTCCTGCCCTGGGCTAGACTAGAAATTGGCCGTGGATCTTTGTACAGTTCCCACATTATTATATGTGAACTCAGCAGCTTATGTTGGAAGAAATGGAGGGAGGAAATTAGAGGGAAAAAGAGGGAGGAACATTTCTCTGCATTTAGGGATTCAAGGGCTCAGAAAAACAAGCTTTAAGCTTTTGGTTGTACACCTCTTGAGCTCTAGCTTTCCTTTCACTGAAGGGTTATGGATCTTATTTCAGAGGGAAGGAAACTGTCCTGTCCCAAGCCCACTGTGACACGTGACCCTTAACTAGTGTACCTGTGGGGAGGGCTTCAGTTGCCACACTAGAGAATGTGGGAGGGCTTCCCTTCCCCTGCCCCCATTTATAGACATGGGAGTGTCTCCATTGCTTTGTATGCTGTTGCATTTTCTCCTCCCTCTTTGTTTTTCCTAAGCTAAGCTCTAAGCTAATTCTGTGCAAAATAAATACTGATTGTTTTTATAAATTGCTTGCCATGAATGCCTGATAATGTACAGTAAAATAGGATTCTGCATACCATTAAATATGTCAAATATTACAAACTTTAAGGTTCTTTTGAAATTACAATACTAAACTCAGTTCACTTTTGCTTAGCCTTCACAGTTGTTGATCACATAGCATGGTCATCCACTCACAGCTTAAAAAAATACAGGGAGCATCGGAGAGAATGGGTAAAGTAAAATTTTGATGTTTTTAAAATAGCACCTAAATCTATGAAAATTGATTTGGTTTCTTGTTTGTACGGGAGGGAGAGGGTGGGTAGTACTGGGGGGAGGGGGTGGATATTGGGAAGATAGCATGCAACGTATAAAATCATGTCGGATACTACCTAGGCTAAGATTGTAATGTTACTAATAAAATTTAAGTGTTAATATATTAAGTTTCAGAAAAGGCAGGACCATAGAATGGAAGTGTTGGGAATTACAGTGGGCTTATTTTTTTCCCTCCTGACATACGGAAGGGGATTTTGAGAATAGCAGTATTTGAGTCAAATTTAGAGAGGAGGCCTCTTTTTAAAGTGACCTGTCCATATTCCCTGAATGGAACTGACTGCCTCAGTACCACCTTAGGTTCTGATACATTGGTGACAGACCTGGAGATGAATAATATGCATCCTCATTTTTATTGTGTACTTGTGACTCAGGTGTTCTCAAAGATTATAATTCATGAAACTCATGAAGGGGTTGAACAAAAGAGGGAGGTAAGAGAGTTGTTGCTTGGTAGAGAATTTGGTAGAAATAGGAATTATTAGAAAAGTTGATGTTTCTATTAAAATGAAAAACACTTGCTAGAGTTCTAAATCCGGTTTCTAATTCTAAAAACTTGGCTGTGTAGTTATGTACAAGGCCTAATGAACTATTGTAGAGGTTATAGGACAGAGAGATCTCCATGGTTTTATAGGTGGGATATTTTTTGTTGTTGACAGAAGTAACTTCGTCTGATTTCTCTTCCATTATATTATTTTATTTTATTTTTTTACTTTATACAATAAAAATTTGGATTAAAAAATGAAAATTGTAAGAAATCAAATGTTACTCAAAAAGTGTTCTGATCCCAACTCTGCAATTCTTCTACATGAAGCCATTTGCCAAAGCCAAATACGGTTTACTTAGGACTGTCCCCCCCAAACCTTGTTTCTATAAGCTTTGTCAAAGCTATTACTCCAGGTTGTAGTGCTTGTTTTTCTGCTTTCCTTTGATCTAAGTCCTGTCTTTCCTTCGAATTTTGGCTACTTACTGCATGAAGCTTTTCCCAATATCTCCATTCTTGGTGGTAATTTTAGTCTAAGAATTCCTGAAGTACTACCTAATTGAAACATACATTTGATACTTGGATCATGTTATCTTGTATTATAACTTATTACTCCATTAATATATCCTCGGCTGGGTGCAGTGGCTCCTGCCTGTAATCCCAGCATGTTGGGAGGCCGAGGAGGGAGGGTCATTTGAGGCCAGGAGTTGGAGATCAGTCTGGGCAACGTAGTGAGACCCTGTCTCTACAAAAAAATTTAAAAAATTTTAAAAATTGGTATGTCCTATCTCTTTAGCAAAATCGTTGGCTTCTTGTGGGGAGAGAGCTTGTCTTATATGCCCCTTTGTAATTCCATTGCCTAGCACAGCAGATGTGGTCACTGATAGGTTTGATTCTGTGATTTGGATCCAATGTCAGTGTGACAGGATACTTTTTTCCCCCCATAATTTAGGTTATTTTTATATGACTTTATGCCCACAAAACCCAAAGATAAAACACACTAAATTGAAAATAATTTCTTTTATTATAAGGTGATTTGGTTCCTATTTGCAGTTCTTTCTTCTTCTTTTTATAAAGTAGGCGCTGTTTTACCTAGTTTCTTACGAAAAACATGGTTTGGGCCAGATATCTTGACAGAAACCAAATTATACCAGCATTTTTCTTTTAAAAATCATTGTTGATTTAGCTGAATTGTACTTCCATGGAATAAGCCCAAATAAATTTGTTAAGTACTGCATGGTTATGCAGCCAGATTGTTTTAAAATGTCAACCTTTATTAAAGTCCCCTAAGCAGAACTTTAAAAATATCAATAAACAGTCAGTTGCTATTCCCTCTCAGAGTATTTCTGTATCTCAAATTATTAAGCGTTTTATTATATCATTGTTTTAAAGATTTCTATAATGGCTGCTGTTTGATAGCTGTATTTGTTGTGTTTGCTACAGTTATCAAATATTTATGGAGCACCCATTCATTTGCAGTGAGAAGTTATTTTAAAATGCTTTTTGGCATTTATAGAAACAGATTCTGATTTTAAAAGCTCACCAGGGAAAATATGTACAATTACTATGTATCCATAAAAATTTTAAAAAACACGAAAAACTCACTAGGGATACTTGCTGGTTTGCTATATTCCTATTAGGAATTGTTCATATTTTAACTGATAGCTGTGTCTTCAGGGCACAATTAACTTAATATTTGAATGTAAGTTGTTAAGCAGAAATCAGTTACTCTAGTTGATGAAATGTTTGATTAGTAAACTTCATGAATACTGATTTTATTCTAAGGCCTGAGCCATTAGTTTAACAGAGCACTGAAATGATTCTGCTGTTGCATTACCAAAACATTTAGATACTTTTAGCAGGAAAACTAATAGATACATAAGGGGTTTTTTGTTTTGTTTTGTTTTTTTGTTTCAACTTTAAAATTTTATCATTTTAAAATTCCTTAATATAATTAGGGTACAGATTTAAAATGAAATATTTTTCTTAAATGATAGGAAGCAAAACGCCTGTAATTAAATAGCATTGACATTCTGATATGAGCTTATCATAGTACCATTCTAACATGAGCTTGAGGTCCTCACCAAAGTCTTGATGAAACATACTTTTTAAAGACATAATTTTTTAAAACCCCACTTGGTTCAAAGACATTGTCCAGAGCTCCAGCTTTGGACTTTTACCTGTAGTCAGTCAAACAATTATCTGGGGTTATGCTTGTTAAGTCAGTATTTTAAAAATGAAACACCCTGATTTTGTTCACTTTTGTTTTTATATAAAAGAATCTTTACAGTCAACATGTACTTCTAGATGCTGTATTGAAATTGCTGGCAGAGTTTATTCTATACAAAATGAACAATCTGGCCCCTTGTTTTATTTGTAAAGGTTCAATGTATCTATGCCTGCCTACCTCAATCTGCAAGGGAGTGTCAGAAAGGCCCCGCATTCGCCAAGCCGTGAGTTATCGCTAACTTTTCAGATGTGTTAATGAATGTGGAACAAAAGCAGTTGTGTTTAAAAGGAAAAAGGACCATCAAAATAACTTTCATTATAGTAGCAGGCGTAAACACTAAACTGAATATTCCAAATTGTGTCAAAAATAACCTACTAGAGACGAGCTTCTAGAAAACCTATTGTTGAACTGCTCTGAAGCCATCGTTTTAACTATAAATTACTGTTGTTAAAATTTTATATACCCTGGTTGCAAATTAGAATGTTTTGAAAATATCTTTAACCAAGTTAAAACAATTTGAACAAAATCTTACCCCATCTAAAAATGATAGTATTTAGTTGAATTTAAGTTAAGCTCTTTAGTATATGACCATATAAAGGGGTAAAATTTTAATCTTTTTTGTTACTTACATGTGAAAATACAGAAACTAAATGATTGAATCACATCCTACACGAAGGTTTTTGGAGTGCTCCAGGCATATCATGTGAAGTACGGAGGTATTTATATCTCTTTTGGCACCAATAGTTCTCGCTTCAGTATTTCACCAGTAGGTTTTCATTCATCAATAGTGTATCAGTTTAAGGCTAAAATAAAACACCTACATTTCTTAGGGCTTATTCTGTATAGAAAGGAAACATCCTTATGAGTTTTTTCTTTTGTCTTTCCGAAGAGATTCTAAGCAAAAAAATTGTAACTAACATCTGTATTTTGTTATTGGAGCTAGTTACCTTTCTTTTTCTTAGATTCTTTAACGTTTTGAGTAGATAGCCATATTTGATAAGCAGGTTGGATGCTTCTTTTGCTTAGGAGGTAGGTGTATTGTGTTATATGAAGACAGAATGAATTTAAATATACCCAGTTTGGCAGCATAGAAAAGCTCAGACTACATAAAACTTGGAGGTATGGAACCTTTGGACGCATTAAAGTTAACGTTTCATTAGGCAATGTGCCTTTGTTTGACTGGTGTGTAAGTCCTTCTTCCAGGTTTGTACGCTCTTAAACGCGTTATTCTACCCTCTCTAACTCCTCCCAGCAGCAAAAGGGAGACACTTCAGCTGGAACAAAATAGTGGAAGAAATGGCGTCTGGGGTTCAGTGGGGATTCGCAGTGTGTATGCAATGTTTGCAAGATTATTTTTTATGTTTTTCAATTACTGTAAATAAAAATATATCAATGCTTAGTGTCAAGAAGGGAACATTGTATACCAGTATAAACTCTCTTAGTGGGTCTGCAAGTTGCTTAACCTCTCGGGGCCTCAGTTTTCTCATCTGCAGTATGAAGGAGTTGGACTCGATAATCTTTAAAGTCCATTCCTGCTCTAAAATCCTATGCTTTTCTGAAGTACTCTATTTAACAGAATGCATTGCTTTCTCACTTTGACTATTTGAATTATGTATGCAGTACACTTACTGCAACTGCATGTTGTCTAAAATAGTTTTTCTATAGGATGTATATAAAAACTAATCCCTCTTGAGCTGATTTATAATGTGTGTATATAGCCACACATAAAAAGCTAGTAATAGTAGGGCTCTCAGAATAATACTTTCCAGTTGTCTAACCTTGAATGTTATTAACTCTTCTATATTACAGGAGATACTACTCGTCAACGAATCAAATTCAGTGATGACAGAGTATGCAAGAGTCACCTTCTCAACTGTTGTCCTCATGATGTCCTTTCTGGAACTGTATGTATTTACTAAATGTATTGTTTGATTACTGATATGCTGCAGTAATGAACTACTTGATAAAGTTTTAATTCTGTGTCAAAAGAATTGACTTGTGAGGGGGGATTTGCATCCTTTATTGTTTGTTTATTCAGGATGATTACTTAAATCTTCAGTAATGGGTTTCCTCACAAAAGTGGTTGATATGTTTTATTTTACAATATTTTCCATTCTTTACAGCAATTTTTTAAAAGCATGTTTTATTTGGAATACAGAGGTAGTTATATAGCATTTGTACTTTTAGTTCAAAAATAAAATTATTTTTAAAGTAGTTCCTTTTACTGTTAAACAGTAGACTTTTATCTAGTACAGTATATATTTTTGTTAAGATTTTTACACACTTATATTGTGGAATCAGTGGGGAAATATATTAGTAAATACTTATATCCACACAGCTTAATTTGGGAGTATTATCACTTAAAATATTGCTCCTGCTAATAATGTAAAGCTCAATTTTGATTCTATGTCTGCAGAGATGTTGATCTTAGAGTATCATTGTTTTAATTTGGAAGATAAACTGCATAAAGGTGGACCTGTTGGAATATGGAACAAAGAATTTGATTCTCTGACTTTTGGATTTGGTTGAAATGATTACAAGTAGCTTCCCTTCATAGCTGCATCTGATGCTGGTGGGGAGCTAGTAGGGGCTAAACCTTGAGCTGGCTTTAGTTCTCATTTGCCAGAAATGACTGAAATGAAGAAAGATTTCTGACTTGCCTTTTCAGAAGCAATGAGTTTCTTAGCCAAATGAGTGGTTTCTTCTTTGATAGGAAGAGTTAAAATTAAGGACGTGCCCCAAAGAGATATGTATCAAGGCATATGCAACAGGAAACACCTTTGACTTTTTCCAGTAGGAAAGAGAGTTGAAACTGTTATGTTAATGGGAAAAAAAGAGCCTAGGTTTATTTTAAAGTATAATACTGGCCAGGCGCGGTGGCTTGCGCCTTTAATCCTAGCACTTTGGGAGGCTGAGGCAGGCAGATCACGAAGTCAGGATATTGAGATCATCCTGGCTAACACGGTGAAACCCCGTCTCTACTAAAAATACAAAAAAAAAAAAAAAAATTAGCTGGGCGTGGTGGCGGGCACCTGTAGTCCCAGCTACTTGGGAGGCTGAGGCGGAAGAATGGTGTGAACCCGGGAGGTGGAACTTGCAGTGAGTCAAGATCGCGCCACTGCACTCCAGCCTGGGGGACAGAGCGAGACTCCATCTCAAAAAAAAAAAAAAAAAAAAAGGTGTAATACTACAAGGCAAGAAATCCAGTTTCTGAGAACAGGAATTTGGAAGGACTATGGCAGATAATACATATAATGAACTCTAAACTTTTTTTTTTTTAATACAGTCTCGCTCTGTCACCCAGGCTTGGAGTGCAGTGGTGTGATCTCAGCTCACTCTTACCTCCAACGCCTGGCTTCAGGCAATTCTCCTGCCTCAGCCTCCGGTGTAGCTGGGATTATAGGCGTGCGCCACCATGCCCAGCTAGTTTTTGTATTTTTATTTTTATTTATTTATTTATTTTTTGAGATGGAGTCTTGCTCTTGTCACCCAAGCTGGAGTGCAGTGGCATGATCTTGGCTTATTGCAGCCTCTGCCTCCTGGGTTCAAGCGATTCTCCTGCCTCAGCCTCCCAAGTAGCTGGGATTATAGACACCTGCCACCATGCCTAGCTAATTTTTGTATTTTTAGTAGAGCTGAAGTTTCATCATATTGGCCAGGCTGGTCTTGAACTCCTGAGCTCGTGATTCACCCATCTTGGCCTTCCAAAGTGCTGGGATTACAGGCATGAGCCACCGTGCCCAGCCCTAACGTTTGTATTTTTAGTAGAGATGGGGTTTCACCATGTTGGTGAGGCTGGTCTTGAACTCCTGACCTCTTGATCCGTCCGCCTTGGCCTCCCAAAGTGCTGGAATTACAGACGTGAGCTACCGCGCCTGGCTTTTTTTTTTTTTTTGAGACAGAGTCTTACTCTGTCAGCCAGGCTGTGAACACTGCCCAGTGCAGCCTCCACTTCCTGGGCTCATGAGTTTCTCCCACCTCAACCTCCTGAGTAGTTGGAGCTACAGGCGCGCACCACCATGCTCGACGAATTTTTGTATTTTTTGTAGAGACTAGGTCTTGCCATTTTACCCAGGCTTGTCTCCAACTCCTGGCCTCAAGTAATCCTCCTGCCTCAGCCTCCCAAAGTACTGGGATTACAGGCGTGAACCACAGCACCCAGCCATAATAAACTCCCTTGTCTACTTTCTAACATTTTCATAATTATTTTATACCGCGCTATACTGCATCTGAAATCTATAAAATCTATGGTTGTCTATAGTATACTGTGAGTGTCCGTGTTTAATATTGTATAAAATTTAACTGTTAAAGTTATTTTAAACATTTACTTTTAATTCTTATTTACTGGCTAAATTACCACTTGAGATAAATTTTGAGAACAGCATTAACAAAACCACTTGAGGCCAGGAGTTTGAGACTAGTCTGGTCAACATAGTGAAGCCCCGTCTCTACAAAAAGAATAAAAAAAAAATTAGCTTGGCATGGTGATATTTCCTGAAGTCCTAACTGTCTGGGAAGCTGAGACAGGAGGGTTGCTTGAGCTCAGGAATTCAAGACTTCCAAGTGAGCTATGATCACACCACTACATTCTACCCTGGGCAACAGAGTGAAACCCTGCCTCAAAACAAACAAACAAACAAAAAACAAAAAAGGAAATAAGAATCAACAGTTATAATTCAGTGTTTTTCATTCTTCATTTGAACAGCAGAGTAGAAATAGGCATCTTGAACATAAAGAGGTGTGAACTATCACACTCTGTCCCAAAAAGCATTTGTTGTATAGGGAATGACTGCTACCAAGTCATAGCTCTGTAATTATAAGCTATTTGTACGCAGGGTGAGCTGTTAAGTTTTTCAGGTCCTTAAGTACACCATTGTATGACACTTTTGGAGTCTTACAATGTCCTTTACCTAGTCCTCAAATCTCTGCTTCAATTCTGAAAGGTTTACAACTCAAGCAGTCCTCCTATCTCAGCCTCCCAAAGCACTAGGATTACAGGCAGGAGCCACTGTGTCTGGCCTTAACTGTTGACTTTATGATGCTTTTTCTTTGTTGTGTACCTAAAGATCATATGACTAAAGGTTGCCCTTTAGTTTTCTGGACCTTGTGTCTAAGATCTGTCACTTGCAGCAGAATATGATTTACCAGTATTTTAGATTATTTAGAAAAAGAATACAGAAAAGCCAGGCATGGTGGTACATACCTGTAGCCCCAGCTACTTTGGAGGCTGAGGTGGGGAAGATTTCCTGAACTCAGGATTTCAAATGTAGCCTGGACAACATAGTAAGACTGTCACAAAGGAAAAAAGTATCCAGAAATGCATTTCCAAGCCTTTTCTTCATTGTAAAGAGGTTGGAACTTTATATCAAGCACTTAGAAATGGAGAGTGTGATTTCTAAAAATTCTCTTCATAACTGACAGTTTGGAATTTTTTGCTATTGAGTTTCATGAAAATGCATGTAAAACGTTTTACCTTTCATTACTCTAGTATAACTAATGCTTTTTTTTTTTTTTCCTGAGACAGAGACTTGCTCTGTTGGGCCAGGCTGGAGTGCAGTGGCACAATCTCGGCTCACTGCAACCTCCACCTCTGGGTTCAAGCGATTTCTGCCTCAGCCTCCCGAGTAGCTGGGATTACAGGCGTGTGCTACCACACCCAGTTCGCCAGGGTGGTTTTGAACTCCTGACCTCAGGTGGTCTACCTGCCTCAGCCTCCCAAAGTGCTGGGATTATGGGCCTGAGCCGCCGTGCCTGGTCTGGCATAACTATTTCTTAAAATAAATTAATCAGGGCTGGGTGTGGTAGTTCACGCCTGTAATCCCAGCAGTTTGGGAGGCCGATCACTTGAGGTCAGGAGTTTGACACCAGCCTGACCAACCAATATGGTGAAACCCCATGTCCACTGAAAATGTAAAAAACCAGCCAGGCGTGGTGGCCTGCACCTGTAATCCCAGCTACTTAGGAAGCTGAGGCAGGAGTATTACTTGAACCCTGGAGGTAAAGGTTGCAGAAAGCCGAGATCACACCACTGCTCTCTAGCCTGGGTGACAGAGCAAGACTCTGTCTCAAAATAAATAAATAAATAATAAATTAATCAGAGGAAGTAAGACAGAACAGAGGATCAAAATAATTATATGTTTAATGATTTTTATAAGAAATATGAATATTTTCTTTATCTCAGAAAGTTACTATACTTCAAAAGCTTGCGGCTGGGTGCAGTGGCTCATGCCTGTAGTCCCAGCACTTTGGGAGGCCGAGCCGGGGGAATCATCTGAGGTCAGGAGTTCGAGACCAGCCTGGCTAATGTGTTGAAACCCCGTCTCTACTAAAAATACAAAAAAATTATCCGGGCATGGTTGCGGGTGCCTGTGATTCCAGCTACTCTGGAGGCTGAGGCAGGAGAATCACTCGAACCCTGGAGGTGAAGGTTGCAGTGAGCTGAGATTGTGCCACTGCACTCCAGCCTGAGCAAAAGAGCGAGACTCTGTTTAAAAAAATAAATAAAAGAAAAAATAAAAAGCTTGGATTACTTTTCTATTCTTCTAGAATATTTTCATATTGTAGTCTCTCTCTTTTTCTCATTTTGGCCCACTTTCTCCCTGCTAAATTCACTGTAGGCAGTATGCCCTTTCAGATTTAAGCAAAACAGAAAAACCTAAACCAAGTTGTCATTTTTTTCCCCAACACATTTCTTCTGGTACATATCTTCCCTGAGGAAAGATAAGGAAATTGATAGCTTTAAAAAATATTTCCATCTAGTTCCTTGTCATCTCGAAAAAAGATACATGACGAATAATTTATAGTAGGCTTTAAATATAAAGCAAAGATGTTAACAGAAACTTGAAATTAAGATCTTAGGACGTGGAAAATGTATACTGTCATAGTATGCCTGTTCAAAATTCAG